TTGTGTATGTACAATAGTTTTTCAAATAATTTTTTTTAAATAATACGTGGGGAAGGAAAATTGAATAATATTTACGTTGCGATTTAATTCTAAACAAATTATTAATCTTCGGGATCTTTGTTGCAGATTATTTTGGTGCGAACACAAGATTTCAAAGTGCAGAGATTGGTTCAATCGAACGGTGAAAATAGATCCAGATTTGGGAGATGCGTGGGCGTATTTCTACAAATTTGAATTACTGAACGGCACGGAAGAGCAACAAGAAGATGTGAAAAAAAGATGTATCGCTGCGGAGCCTCATCATGGCGAACATTGGTGCAAAGTTTCCAAGAATATAGCGAATTGGTGTCTTAGCATAGATCAGATATTGGTATTAGTTGCAAGAGAGTTACCTATTCCTATATAAATTTCTTTTACGACGTACAGTAAAAAATTTTATTTATGAACAATCAAATCGATACGATCTACTGCAACACTTTGCAGTTACGATAATCTGTTAGTATGTAAGTTTGTAAATAAAGTTAAAAAAAATATTAGAATTAGTTTTATAATTTTAGTATCTTACACGTGTATGGTGTATTTTATTTAGTGTTGCGACATATGTGAAGTTTATATTACGCGAAACATTTCAGTCTAAAATGAGGGCAATCAGTAATAATAATCTTCGAAAACTTGTGAGCCAATATGTGTAAGTGAATTAAAAATATATATATGTGTTTAGAGAAACAAATCAAGAGATTTATTCGCTAGAAAGCAGACTTAAAATATACCGGATATTTCGTTCAAAATGTAATTTGGAACGAGCAAAGCAAAATAAAAACAATTTGGCAGTTGTCGAAATGATACTGTGTGACAAAAACTTGTTTTGATTCTATTATTGTGTAGCCTGAGTTTTGTTGGTAAAAGAAAAGTGTGTCCGACATTTTATATAAGTGCTCTATTGATTTTAGCCCAGATAGCCAAATGTGAAAACTCAATATAAAGCAAATCATTGTATGGATTAAGTTGCTCGCCAATTGCTGTTGTGTTGTTTTTATTTAACGCAACGAAAATGTTTTTGTCAATTCGGTATCTCAATATGCTGAGTTTTATTATCAATCAATTGTTGTAGCCAATGTTTAGGACATGTGAGTCAGCAATATGCGAGCAATATATGAGCAAATAATTTTTATTCACAAGTTGAGAAAAATAATATAAAATTAAATAAACGGCTCGATGGAAAATTCAAACAATAGTACACAACCGCAGAGCCTTTGGTCCAAGAAGGAAGTGGACATTCAATATACTGTAAAAAAAAAAACCACAGTGTATTTAGGGACGTTTCGATCATTTATTGTTGATCATCCTCTCAGCACTGTTAAATAACAAAAAATTATAATTAAGTACAATCAAATACAATTAAAACTAAAAAAAAATAAAAAAAAAAAAACAAAAAATGATCGAAACGTCCCTAAATACACTGTGGTTTTTTTACGGTATATTGAATGTCTACTTCCTTCCTGGACCAAAGGCTCCGCGGTTGTGTACCATTATTTAAAATAATATAAGTTTATTGCCGATGAGTTGTTGAGAACTTGCTGTTATTATATTTTGAAAACACTGTTGTTGGCAAGAACATACTGAAAAGAGGAGGATACACCCTTTTGTTACATTGCTGAAAACATATGAGTAATATTCGTGGCAAGTTGCCAACAACTTGCACTCAGTTGGCTATCTGGGATTATGTGTGTATATGTACAAAACTACTTTTTCGTTTTCACGCAAAATATAAATGTTTGTGTCTTTTCTTTGCTTTTTAAGTCGTTAATCCAAGATGATTGGAAGTATAAAGTACTATAAGTACAATTAAATATTATATATATATATATATAATAAATATTATAAATATAATATATATATAATATAATAAATATTATAAATATAATATATATATAATAAATATAATATTATAAATATATTATATATATAATAAATATTATATTAAATATTATATATATATAATAAAGTAAACGGTTTCGAACTCTTACTGGCTTTACACTCATACATTATAAACAATAAAATAATAAAAATTAAAGAATAAAAAGTAAAATATAAAAAATAAAACTGTTAGTTATATTTGATAATTATCTCAACAAAAAGCGATGGTAACTCGATGTAGTAAAAAGAACAATGCAATATTGTTTATTGTTCGAACAATATATTCGTTCTCGTGAAATTTAATAATAGGGGAAAGGTGACCAATAACCAGACAAAAACCAGATTTTCGGGCAAATAAACTTCTTTATTCTGTTATCAAAATTGGATCTTCCTCAGTGTCTGTACACAATATAAGTTCAAGATTAATTACAAAAATTACTCCAACAAAATCCGTAAGGAAATTGTTCGTAATATTTGTTTAATTTACGCGCATAGATACTACCTTGCGGGTTTGTTATATTTTTAATTTACACGTATATATATACATACTATCTTGCGGATTGTTGGAGTAATTCTTGTAATTAATCTTGAACTTATTGTGTATAGAAGAAGATCCAATTTTGGATATATATATATATATACTATCTTGCGGATTGTTGGAGTAATTCTTGTAATTAATCTTCAACTTATTGTATATAGAAGAAGATCCAATTTTGGATATATATATATATATACTATCTTGCGGATTGTTGGAGTAATTCTTGTAATTAATCTTGAACTTATTGTGTATAGAAGAAGATCCAAAATTGGTATACACAATAAGTTGAAGATTAATTACAAGAATTACTCCAACAATCCGCAAGATAGTATATATATATATATATATATATATCCAAAATTGGATCTTCTTCTATACACAATCTGCTTTTGCTTCGTATTGGCCATTTTTTTTCCATTGTGGTTTATTATTAATAAATCTTGCTCCCGGTATATGTTCAGTATATATGTAGGAGACAGAGTTGCAAACTCTGGTGGGGGCACGCACATCATATAAGTTCTCACTTGATTGCGTGCCCCCGCCACCTCGGTGTTCTCAGTGCTAACCGGCCGAGAGTTTGCAACTTTGGTAGGAGAGATAGCTCTGATGACCTTCACTTTCACATATGAGTGTCAAGGACACTCTCCTGAATAATTCACAAGAAGTTTTAGCCGTTACTTATTGTTCATTAAAAAGTTATTAATAAAAAACATAATCACACAAATGATCGATAAAGACCAACGAGAGTAGAAAATTCGGAAACTTTTTGTAAACCCATGTAGAACCTTGCTGGTGGTTCGCGTGGAAAGTATGTGCGTGAAGACAGTACGTTCTGTCATGTAAAACTTTGCTTTGGTGTTAATCGTCGCTTGTTGTAGCAGTAAGGTTTTTTTTGATGGGTTTACAAATTTTCCACGCAAAGCGAGATTCAACCCTAGAACCTATGTGTTTTAGTTCTTTGATAATGGAACTCCCTCATAGGGAGAGGGAAGAAACACCGCTTCCACGCATACACTTTCCACGTGAAGCGAGATTCTATAGGTTTACAAATTTTTCAAATTTTCCATTTTTGTTAATTCAATTTTTTTAAACAATTAAAGAATCTTTTTAAGGCTCCGAAGTTTCCAAACTAATAAATATATAATCGGTCATGAGAGCCGTTCGCTAGGTGTTGTGCGGAAATTATACTATTTATATACAGGGTGCGTCGCCAAAATCCGGACAAATTTCAATTTGATATTCCCTCCGTTCAGTACCATTGGCAGATGTCGCGATTGGCATTCAAATAGCTTGACGCATGTACTAAACTACCATAACTTCGAAACAGTCGCAATGTTGAAAC